GAGCTCATGAGCATGCTCACATTATCATACATGCAGGCTCTCTCTCTCTCTCTCTCTCTCTCTCTCGCTCTCTCTCTCTCTCTCCACACACACACACACACACACACACACACACACACACACACACACTGATTCCCAACTGTTCTCCATGCCCTTCCTATCTGCCCTCTGAGCTACAACACTCTCTCTCAGGAGATGCTCCCTGTGTCAGCCTTCCCCACTCTGCAAACCCTTCCCAACCATAGGAGAAGTATAGCATCTGGTAGTGCGAGGACCATCGTGCCATGGTGGTGGGCATCTGATCCCCTGGATCTTTTTGGGTATCACAAAAAAGAACTTGTGAAGAGCAACAGGGCAAGTCTGAACAGAGAAGGTGCTGGAAAAGCCCAGGTGTAGAAGGAGTGTAGAGGAGGTATAATTAACTATGAAGCCAAGGGAAAAACAAAAACAGAAACACAGACACAACAATGCTTGGCTGGAAGGACAAAGGAAGCAAATAAGGAAGACCAGCTGCATTCTGGGTAGTTGGGCCACTGAGCTGGGTATAAAAGCCACTCTGGGCAGGAGCTCCAGTCATCCCCACCCTCCTCCAGACAAGCCAGCATTTACCATGTGTCACACCAGCTGCTCCTCAGGCTCCCAGCCATCCTGCTGTGTGTCCAGCTCCTGCCAGCCATCCTGCTGTGTGTCTAGCTCCTGCCAGCCATCCTGCTGTGTGTCTAGCCCCTGCCAGCCTTCCTGTTGCAGGCCTGCTATATGCATTCCTGTGAGATACCAGGTGGCCTGCTGTGTGCCTGTGAGCTGTAGGCCCACTGTGTGCATGGCTCCCTCCTGCCAGTCCTCTGTGTGTGTGCCCGTGAGCTGCCGGCCAGTCTGTGTGCCCTCCACCTGCCAGTCATCTGGGTGCTGCCAGCCCTCCTGCCCCACCCTGGTCTGCAGACCTGTCACCTGTAGCAACCCCTCCTGCTGCTGACCAGTGACCCAGTGAAGATGGGACAACCTGTCCTCTCTGCTAGCTCCTGTCCTCTGGCTGCTGGTTCAGCATATGAGGCATACTGGAAGCCCATCCTGCCCACCCCTGGGACTCTAGGGGGAGAACATGGAAGTCATCTGGATTCCCCTCTCCTTGCCCTTTGGAAGGGTGCCCAGGCTCCAGGGCCATCTCTAACTTCTAGTGCCAAATAAACAGTTTCTCCAGATCAACTCCACACGTCTGTCCTGTTTCATGTCTGTCTTTCTTGGCTGCTCTCATATCAGGAAAGGTATAAGGTCAATGCTTTTTATGACCCAATGGCACAGTGACGACTCAAGGTGTGGGTGTGGCCTGATAAAGTGAGTGTGGTCAGGCCTCTGCTCATTAAGTAGTCCATGAACCTGCCATGGACTTCTCCTCCCTCATGGCTCTGTCCCCTACCTACCCCCTCCTCTAAGTGCTCTTGCCCCAAGAGCTTCCTGGATGGAGAATGCTCAGTGTTCCCTGCCAGCTTTTCCTCCCTGGTGATTTTATAATGGGGGTCATGGCGACTCCTCTCACCACGGACAAGCTTCTGAACACCGGAATCTGAGACTCGGAATTCGTTGTCACTCTTTCACCTTCTCGTCGCTGGTCCCAAGAAGCCCATTTTCTTGTGGCTGATGATCCATTATATGTAATAAACATGTAGTCAACACAGACTGTTCCTGCCACTTCCGCTGGGAGGCATGGGGTGCAGACCTGATGCCTCTTTGCCCCTTTGGTGTTAGTTGCTTTTCATGCTGATTTAATCCCCAACAAAACAACTTAAAAGAGGAAGGCGCTATTTTGGCTCACAAGTTTAGAGAGCTCACGCTCTCGTGACTGAGGGCAGAGTGGAGAAGTTCTTATCATGGTGGTCAGGGATCAGAGAGGGAGGATGCTGGTGCCCTGCTGTTTCCTTGTCCCTGCTTGTATCTAGTTTTGCCCTCCAGCCTATGGCACTGCGTCTGCCCACCTTCAGGGTGGATCTTTCGCACCTCGATTATTCCTGTCTAGGAAAGGCTCCACAGGCATGCCTAGTGGCTCATCTCAGTCTCCTATGGGAGTCTAAATCCAGTCAAGTTGTCAATGAGGGTTAACATTCAGATATCAACCAAGGTCAACTTGACAACCACATGTCTTACTTTAAATCAGCTTCCCAAATTCATGTCCATCTCATGTAGGAAAAAAAAAAAAAAACTACCCATTCCATCCATGATTATGGGCATGTGCAGGGTATCTCCTTCAGGCAGCAGAGTGCTTTCCTGTGGTCTAGATGGTATTCTGAGTCAAGACCACCAGGAAAAAAAGGGGGCCATGGGAGGCATTACATCATGGTTGCAAAGCCAATCCAGGATCCCACCAGTCAGCCACAGGACCCGAGGAGCCATGTGGATGGAGACATTACTAGCTGGTAGGTCATAAAGATGGCCGATGTTAGCCCAACTCATTGAGCTTCATAGGTTGGGGGGGGAGGGAGGTGGGGAGGTGGGGGTAGGTAGAGGGGCTTGTTGACATAATAAACCATGCATACAGTAAAGCCCGGAAGTAAGTGCAGTCTTGATGCTTTGCGAGAGTGTGGTTCTGTCAGAGGAATGCATGAAAAGCATCTTCATCAGGGGCCTGATGAAGTGGAATGAGTGACAGAAGGAGGCTGGATGCACCTCCGTGTGTTCACTGGATTTGAAGTCATACTGTGGCCACAGATGATGGGTACCCAGAAGTAGAAAAGTAGATAGGTGACATTAGCTTTTCTTTAATGCTAGTCTCTTGAACAACCACACTCTGCTCATCCACACTTTAGCCTGTCCTCTTTCTGGCTAGACTGTACGTTTTCCTGACCCTTCTGCTCTACTCTTTGTATCTGATACCCATTGTAAACATGGCTAAAACCAGCCATCAATAACCAGGCAACTGCATGAAGGCTTTGCTGTCATGAATTTCCTTCACCAAGTTTGTTTAAACTCATCCAATGTTTCCAAGACATAGACAAAATGTGAATAATTCTTTGCCAGAATATAATACAAATTATGTATAGTCCTGCTTCCAATTCAGCCCCTGCTCCCTTCAGAAACCTCACGAGTATACATGTGTTACTGTCTGAGTGTGTCTTTATGGGCATTCTGGCCTGAGTCCTAAGAGGGCTGGACATTGCGGTCAAGGAAGGTGTGTTGTTCAGGTTACTCTTTGCTCGTAGAATTCTAGGGCTTCAATAGCCCACAGCTGCAAACCCTGACACATTCCTTCCACAGGCCAGCTTCAGACACCTGAGAGCCAAACTGTCAGGGTTATTCATGATGATATCCTGACTTTTACAGTACCAGTTTTCCATATTTTGTGTTTTTACATTGCAGTGATTATTTTTAAAGTGCACTGGAGAGGAGGGAAGGCTTACCTTGACTATCAGTTTCAGAATTCAGGACATCATTGTGGACCAGAGCCCTTCATACCACGATGGACCAGGAAAAAGAGAATCAGGAATTCTTGCCTGCCTTTCTCCTTTTTCTACATCTACTCTGTCCTGGTCCCTAACCAAGGGGACAACACCATACATTTAAGGAAAGTCTACCCTCTCAGTAGCCCTCCCTGGAAATGTTCTAACAGACGTGGCCTGAGATGTGCCCTGGTGGTTCTGTGCAGTTAGTTAGACCTTCTCACACCAGCATGGGCTTCAGGCCTTCCCATTCTCTTTCTGTTATTCCAGCATTCTCCAAGGAGATGAGGCAGGTTCAGGATATGGTAAGAGCAGGAAGGGAAGAAGGTAGATGGAGTCCTTCCAAGCTCTACAGGATCACACTGGAATGTCTTCTAGGAGGCATAGTTCTCACATGGGCTCATGACCATAGCAGCAGGTCCAGAGTTTGAGGGCCTGGAGAAGAGAGGTCAGCAGCAGGCAGAGGAGCTACAAGGGAGGAATTAGCAGTAATGGGCAGGGCAGGAGGGCTGGCAACACCCTAGGGACTGGCAGCTTACAAGCCAGCTGGCAGGAGGCAGACACGGGGCACAGAGCCCATTTCAATAGAGCCCCACTTGGGGGTCTGTGTTCTCACAGCCCCAGGAAGGCAACAGGCAGTGATGAGGCAGCACAGAGACACAGTACAGGCAGCATGTGGCCTGAGGAGCAGTTCATATAGTATATATAGGTGGCTGGGACTGGGTAAAGTTTGGGTGGGAAAGGGAACAGGCCTTTAGTGGCATATGGCCACACACATGGACATACAGTCCTGGACACACATATATGGTTATGCATGCATTTACATTCAGGCACACACATGCACAAACTCTGAACCCCGTGTGCACATATGCAGGCCCTCAAACTCTGGACCTGCTGCTATGGTCATGAGCCCAGGTGAGAACTGTGCCTCCTGCAAGACACTCCAGTGTGATCCTGAGGAGCTTGGAAGGGCTCTCTCTCTCTCTCTCTCTCTCTCTCTCTCTCTCTCTCTCCTGAACCCCATGTGCACCTATACACACACACACACACACACACACACACACACACACACACACACACACAAAGAGAAAGAGCTGTCCTCCATGCTCTTGCTTCTGCCTGACATCTCCAGCTGTGGCTCATGGGAGGGCTCTCCCTGTGTTCAGCCTCTCACATTCTGCAAGCCCTTCCTAACCCTGTGAGAAGTGTGATCTTTGTGGGTGTGTAAGGACTGTCATCCTGTAGGGGCAACTTCTGGACACATGGATCTCTAGGACCTCGTGTGAGGAAACCAGGAAGTGATGGAGCTTGGTAGAATCCAGAAGGCCCCAGGGGGAGGCTGGGTGGGAGCCCAGACCCAGCAGGAGTTGGAGCGGGTATAATTAGCCATGAGGCTGAGGGCAAACAAAGCAGGAACATAGACTTCAGCAAAGCCAACTGGGAGGACAGAGGAAGCAAATAAGGAAGAGCAGCTGCATTCTGGGTAGTTGGGCCACTGAGCTGGGTATAAAAGCCACCCTGGGCAGGAGCTCCAGACATCTTCACCCTCCTCCAGACAAGCCAGCATTTACCATGTGTCACACCAGCTGCTCCTCAGGCTGCCAGCCATCCTGCTGTGTGTCCAGCTCCTGCCAGCCATCTTGCTTCAGGCCTGCTATATGCATTCCTGTGAGATACCAGCTGGCTTACTGTGTGCCTGCGAGCTGTAGGCCCACTGTGTGTGTGTCTCCCTCCTGCCAGTCCTCTGTGTGTGTGCCCGTGAGCTGTGTGACCTCTCCCTGCCAGTCATCTGGGTGCTGCCAGCCCTCTTGCCCCACCCTGGTCTGCAGACCTGTCACCTGTGGCAACCTCTCCTGCTGCTGACCAGTGTCTCCAAACCAGCTGCCTCCGTGAAGATGGGACACACCTGTGTTCTCAACACCGTTCTACTTGACCTCAGGTTTAGAGTGTACAGCAGGTGGGAAACATACCTGTTCTACTCTGACACTTGGGGGAAAGCAGATTCAGAAGCAATATCTGCATTGCCTCCCCTGACCTCCTATGGATGTCCTGGTTGCAGGGACCTTCTCTAACCCTGTGTGCTGAATAAATCAGTTTTTCAAATCAGCTGCACATGTCTGTCCTGTTTCATGTCTATCTTTCTGGCTCCTCTTGTATCAGAAAGGATGTAAGGTTAATAAATGTTCTCTATGATCCTTGGGGGATGAGATGCAGTGGAGGACATGGCCTGTTTATGCAGATGTCACCAGGTCCCTGGCAGTCCTGTGCATAGGAGCATGCCATGGACTCACTGTCAAAGCTGTGTCCTATTCCCCCTCCTGCTTTATCTTCTTCTTGCCCAGTGCATCAGTAGCAGTGACACATGGGCAGCAGACATTCTGACTGTCCCTGGCTAGTTTTTCTCTCTGGTGCTGTCTTGTCTCCTGGGCCCTGGTGACTTTTACAGGGCACCTTTCGAGCGTTTGAATGTTAGTTCTACAATGTGAGAGACCTGTAGCACCTTCCCTTCAGTGGTTCACACGTGCCCATCTTTAATTGACTGGTGATCAATTGTAACACAACACACATACATCACTTTCAGCTTAGAAACAGAAGCCATTGTTATGTTTGCTGACTTCTTGGTGGGGGCAGGGGGGGGTGGCTGTTGACGTCACTGCACCACGGTCCTAGCGCTGAGCTGTCTGTAGAACTCCTCTATAAATTCATTAGCCCATGATCTTTCAATTCCACTCTACTAGAAGTTTTTGAACTGGGGCAGAAAGCAGTTAGATTTCTTGCCAACTCTGCATACAGCGTTGGAGGGCTGCTTTAGCTCACAGCTCCAAACTCTTCTCCATCCCTCCTGCTAACCAGTTGTAAAGGACCATGAACTGTATGACAGGAATTAACTGGTTGGTGCTGAATGATGGTGGAAATGCCTGGAGCTCATTTGCAGGCTGCTCTTTATTCACGATGGAGTGTCCGAACAATCCAGAACATCGCTGGTCTTCTTTGCGTGTTCATTTTCTGGTTGCTGTGACAAAATGCCTGGGGGACAATAGCTTAAGAAGGAAGGGCTTATTTTGGTTCACCATTGGAGAGGATACAGTCTAGATGGTGGGAAACCCATGGTGGCAGGAGTGAGCTGGCTGGACGTATCGAATGGTGTGCTCCCTGGTTTTCCTTACATTAAGTCCATGACCCCAATACATGAGACGCCTTCCACATTCAGGGTGGGTTTAGCGCTTTGAATGAGAAATGCTTCCCCACTGACTCAGGCATTTAATACTTAGTCTCCAGTTGGTGGCGCTGTCTGGAGGGATTATGGGAGGCACAGCTTCGCTTGGAGGAGGTGTGTCATTGGGCAGGCTTTGCAGGTTTAAAGCCTTGTGCCCTTCCAGTTTGTTCTGTCTGTTCCATGCTTGCATCTGAAGATGTGAGCTCTTGGCTTGTTGCTCCTGTCACACTGCCTGCCCGCCCGCTGCCATGCTTTCCTGCCATGATGGACATTCAGCCCTCTGGAACTCTAACCCAAAGTAAACCCATTCTGCTCTAGGTTCTCTTGGTCTTGGTGCTTTATCACTGCAGCAGAAAAGTAACAGATCCAATGGATCTTTCCTCCCTCTTCAGTTAAACGTCTTTGGAAATACCTTCACACACATGGCCAGAGATGTGTCTCTCAAAAGGTTCTAAATTTAGTAAAGGCGATGAGGAAGGTAAACCATCACAATGTAAAAAAGTGTCAGACTTTGGGCTTCTTACATGTTTCTGAGTGTGACATGTTTATACATATTACATATTATCATATGTGGCCACATGCCACTTAGAAATGCCCTCTAAAACCTGCCCCTTCTGTATCAGCTCCAGGGATTATGGAGCTGAGACAGCTCCATCACGTACCACACAAGCCAATCTAGACTCCTGTTAACCTGCACTGCTTCCCTGTGCTGTATCCCTATTGCCTTCTACCCAAACCAGGGCAATGAGTCTTTCTACAGCCACTGAACTCCCCATGTACCTCTGATGAGACAGCCCCTATGTGGCAGCCATCTGTAAGACGGCCTCCTGCATGTCTAGCTGATGCATGCCGGCGTCCTCCACGCTTAATAAAAGGAAAACGAGGGACACCCCATGCGATATGTCCAGCCACCTCACCCCTGCCGCCATGTGTTCCCTGCCATTTAGACTGTATCCCCTCAAATGGTGAACCAAAATAAACTCTTCCTTCTTAAGCTGTTGTCCCCAGGCATTTTGTCATAGCAACCAGAAAACACCAGGACAGAAAATGAACACTCAAAGGCAACCAGCTGTGTTCTGGGTTGTTGGGACACTGGACCGTGAATAAAGGGCAGCCTGTGAATGAACTTCAGGCATTTCCACCATACTCCAAACCAACCTGTGAAGTCCTGCCATATGGTTCCTTTACAATTGGTTAGCAGGAAGATGGAGAAGAGTTTGGAGCTGTGAGCAAAAGCAGCCCTCCAATGCTGTATGCAGAGTTGAACAGGCCATTCTATAGGAGTATGTGAGATAGAATTCCAATAAAAGGCAGTCACTAAAGACTCTTGTGTGGCTTCAGAGTAGAACATGAGCTCATCAGGAACTGTGCTGAAAGCCATTTGTGGTAGAGTCTGGCAAGAAATCTAACCGCTTTCTGCCTCAGTCCAAAAAAATTTAGTGAAATGGAATTGAAAGGTTATGGGCTAATGCATTTTGGAGTCAGACACACTACTATTGCCCCACGAGGTCTCTAGGGCTAATGCATTTTGTAGAGGAGTTCTACAGACAGCTAGTGTTAGGGCTGTGGTGCAGTGACGTCATGAGTTCAGCGTTCAGGCTGTGGCGCAATGACTGCTCTTAGATGATCTGCATTGAGAAGAGCAGACAATGCGAGAATGTGCAGGTCGGTGAGAAAAGGAGCCTGGGCCAGTTTACAGTTGTAGACAAGGTGAGTGTGGAGAAATTGTGACTGCTGAGTGATTAGCAGCATTAAAGAGAAACCTCTCATTCTGTGCTAGAAAAATAGTTAAGGACCCCCCCCTAGGGCAAGACCCCACTTCTCAAAAGCTCCAATGTGTGAAAATGTAACTTCCTCTGGAAATGTGCAGGGCTTCCCTGCGTCAAAACAACTGCTGAGGGAATTTATCCCCAGGTTTTCCAGCTAAAGCACACTGAGGCCTTGACAACTGTGGCCAGGGAGCAGCGGGCAGGGACTACATTGTGTCTTGTGCAGAAGAATATGGCAACATTGTTACATTGTTTTCTGGGCTTGCAAACTTCAAGAGCTGTGTGGTTTATGAAGGCTTGTGCTGCAATGTTCAAGAACACCCCTAAGTTCAGACTGTGTGGCAAGGTTGGATACCTTAGGTCTACTGAAAAATGATTGTGTGACGTTGTAAAGGTGAAATCTAAGTTTCAATAGAGACTCCAGGCTGCTGGAGGTGTAAGGACTCTGGGATATCCACCAACAAAAGCTCCAGGCATGGCGTGGAACCTGCCTAAGAGAGAGAAGCTCTGTGCAGTGTAGAAAGCAGGGGTGGAGGGACGGGACTACCCAAAGTTGTTGGGGCCCAGCTGTATCCATCATGAGTCCCAGACGCCTGATATGGAGCTGAAGCATTTGGCATTTGCCTTAATACCTTCTCAAGGAACTTGGAAGAGATGTAATTAGCCATGTAGCTGAGGGCAAACAAAAACAGAAACACACAGAAACAAAAGCAAGGCCAGCATTGGGGAAAGGACAGGAAGCAAATAAAAGCTGCATTCTAGGTGGCTGAGTCACTGAGCTGGGTATAAAAGCCACTCTGGGCAGGAGCTCCAGACATCTTCACCCTCCTCCAGACAAGCCAGCCTTCACCATGTGTCACACCAGCTGCTCCTCAGGCTGCCAGCCATCCTGCTGTGTGTCCAGCCCTTGCCAGCCATCCTGCTGTGTAGCCAGTCCCTGCCAGGCATCCTGCTGTGTGTCCAGCTCCTGTCAGCCATCCTGCTGTGTGTCTAGCTCCTGTCAGCCATCCTGCTGCAGACCTGCTATATGCATTCCTGTGCGATACCAGGTGGCTTACTGTGTGCCTGCGAGCTGTAGGCCCACGGTGTGCATGGCTCCCTCCTGCCAGTCCTCTGTGTGTGTGCCCGTGAGCTGCCGGCCAGTCTGTGTGACCTCCACGTGCCAGTCATCTGGGTGCTGCCAGCCCTCCTGCCCCACCCTGGTCTGCAGACCTGTCACCTGTAGCAACCCCTCCTGCTGCTGATCAGTGTCTCAAAAACAGCCCCTTCTGTGAAGATGCATACTTTGTCCTGTCCAACCCCGTTATTGGCTATGGATTCAGCAGGAGGCATCTGGGAAACATACCTACTGCACCCTGGAACTGGAGAGAGGATGCAGAAGAATGAAGCAGACCCCCCATGCCCTGCCCTTCTTTGAAGGATATCCTGATGCGGGGTTCTGGTCTAACCCATGGGCCAAATAAAACAGCATCTCTGACCAGCTGTGGGTGTCTGTTCTAGTTCTTGACCCTCTTGGTGATCAGAAAGGATATAGGCTGGTGCTTTCTCTGAGCCAGCATCACTATGGCTCAGGAGATTCATATTGGTGGAGGCCACGACCTGATGAAGGAGTCAGGCCACTGCTGTGGTCCAGGAGAATGTGGCCCCTGACACAGACTCCTTGTCTCTGTGGTTCTGCCTTCTCTGTTCTCCCTTTTCAGTCTGCCTGCAGCAGGAGCTGCATGGGCCGTGGTGCTCGGATTATCCTTGACTGTTTTTTTTTGTTTGTTTGTTTTTGTTTTTTCTCTCTGGTCTGTATCCTGGGTCCTGGTGATGTTTTCCTCCAGGGTATTTCTCAGATGTTTGAATCTTAGTTATACAATGCGATTGACCCTGTAACACCTTCCCTTCGGTGGTTCACACTTGCCCATCTTCCACTGACTGATGAGCAAGTATGAAACACACATCACTTTAAAGTTAGAAGTCAGAAGGCAACGTGATGGTGAGGTTCTGCTGACTTCTCGTGGCAGCGGCTGCGGTCCTGTGAGCATCGGTCTTCTGTCAATGAGTAGAGTTGAATCTGTGCTCCATGCACCCCAGACATGTATTTTGAAGTTTAACTCCTTGTCAATGATGTCTAAACCGGGTTATGTTCTCCGTGTGCATTGGTGACAGTCTACCATTTCTGATGATGTCTATGGTCTCATGTAGATTGTGGTGAGTAGTTCAGGTGGAGGCTCTTAGGGATAGTCATGCTCCCACGTCTGCTGTGCCTATGACTCTGTCCTGCCCTGTCCCTCCCAGAGCTCTCCCTGCCAGTTGTCCTGGACTAGAGATGTTTCCTTTATGCTGCAGGCTGATGGGGAGAAGCAAGCAGAAGAAAAATGGTTTATGAATCAGCAGCCAAGATGGTCTATGACCAGTGTGTGGTTTAAATTGGGGCTTTGTGAAACTGAGCCAGAAATGAATCCAGATGTTAGGGATTCGCTGTCCTGAGTGTGCACAAGCATTTACATGTACCACTCCTTCAACACACACATGCACATGGCACATGTGAACTGAATACCCATACCCTCATGCACACACACACATGCACAGAGGCATAGCTACCCCCAGTCTCTAGTACGTACATGCACTCATGCACTTTAGCCATTCCACATACACATGTGTGCACTCAGACACCCCTGAGCCCTTATGTCATCACACACATCATCATCTGCTCCCCACAGGTGAACCTGTATTCACATGTGATGGGTTCAGGGCCTCTGAGACCCTCTGCCCTGCTCAGAGTGCAGGGTGGAGACCTCATCAGCCCTTCCTCCCTAGCATAAACCTGCAGGCTTCTCCCATACTGCAGTGTGATGGAAGTACTCCCATAGGACAGTCTCTAGGAAGCAGAAGAAAGGAGGCAAGGAGGCAGGGTTTGAGATTCATACACACGGACTCATTGAGGGAAATGTCCAGGCAGGGAGCATAGGGTTTTTTGTTTTTTCTTTTTTGTTTTATATTTTTTATTTTATTTATTTATTTTGTTTTTTTGAGACAGGGTTTCTCTGTGGCTTTGGAGGCTGTCCTGGAACTAGCTCTTGTCGACCAGGCTGGTCTCGAGGTCACAGAGATCCACCTGCCTCTGCCTCCCGAGTGCTGGGATTAAAGGCGTGCGCCACCAATGCCTGGCTTGTTTTTTTTTGTTGTTTGTTTGTTTGTTTTTGAGTGAGGAAGGGGAGACAAATGTACAGCCATCATGGCCCAGAAGGGTCTGAGCAGTGCATGTGGGGTTTAAGGGACATGATCTGGATGCTTAATAGCCAGCAGGGGCGCTACAGAGAATGCAACCTGTAGAGACTGTTGCCAGAGGATAGACAGCCCCAGGTCACCTAGACTGTCAAGGCGCTGCAGCATGGTGGGGTTGGTCACAGGTATGGGAGGCAGCCAGGGGTGCGACTGTCCAGGCTAGGTGGATGAACTCCCCTCCCCTTCACTTCTAATCAGCTTATTGTCTCATTCGAATAGGGTCTGAGAACGTAACTCACTCAGTGGCCCTCAGTGGTCTGTGTAACAGCCAGGGTTCTGTGTGTATGTGGTGGCTCCCGTGCCTTGCTCTCCCAACAGTGCCAACCCTGCCCTGGGGTTTCTTGTGCCCTGTCCTAGCAACATGGAGGTTGTGATTTATGTGCTGGGTTTCAGAAGGGCCCTGAGGCCTTGTTTCTGCAGAGTCCCTTTCCGGCTCAGCCGTCATCCCAGGGGCTTCATCCCCCCCACCCCGCCCCGTGTACCCAGTTTTTCACCCAGACAGCTCACATTCTGCCCTCAGGTGGACACAGCTCTGAGGCACATGTATGCACACGACACGGGAGCCCTCCCAGATCTTGTCAGGGTTCTAACTGACCAGAAGCAATTGGTGTGAAGGTCTATAAAGACAGGGGCATTAGCACAGGGACTACCAGCCAAGCCAGGACACCTCAGTCTGTGAGGGGAGCCAATGACTATATCACTAATGACCATAAGAAAGAAAATGGCCAAAATAATGTAGAGTAAGCTATTAAGTTAAAAGGGGTTAAGGTAAAAGTAGTGAAAAATACATGAAATTTAGGAAACGCAGTGCAAGGATAGGGAAAGAAAGATTCAGTAAGGTTAAGTAAATGAAGGAGAAAGAAAGGAGAAGAATAGAATGAGAGAGAAAAGTGGCAGGAGAAAAATCTGATTACATGATAAAGACATGGCATGTAAAGCTAGGTTTACATAAGCAGAGAAATAAAAGTGAAAGCATAAAAACTCTTTGAGAACATTCAAAGTTGTCTCACATATATTTAAAGTTAAATATGCCCTGAGTATCTGATGCTGGGAGGGAATCCATATCAGAACAGTCATCTGGTCTACCTTCCCTGTGGCTTGGGACCTGTGCCCTGGGGATCAATGGACTTTGCAATTTTGAGGCTTAGCTCTGTGGTACCCAGTGGCTGAGGACAGTCACATCTTCTTGGTGGACTGAAACATCCTCTGAGTCTTCTCCCAGGGTTTAAGGTGCTCCCGTCCTCAGTAGCAGCCCCATGAAGCTGCCCAGCACCCTGCCCTGAGTTCTTTATTAGAAATGATGCCTTTTACATTTCTGAATATTTTATCTTACCGAATCCTGTGGTGGCTTTTTGTTAGGATTTGCTGGGTGTATTTTCCGTAATATTTTACTTTCAACACTTCTATTCTTTATACTTTAGAACCAAGGCTTGACAACTCTTCCACAAATGTTTGTTAAGTAAATATATTAAGGTCCTGGGTTCTGTCTCGGCCGTGTCGTAAGTTACTCAGCTCTGGTATAGGAGCACCCACCAGTAGAGGACAACCTATGGACAAGGAGCCAATAAAGCTTTATTACAAAATAGGAAAAAGGCGAAAATTAGTTTGATGATACATAAAGCAGGATTTGAAGCAAACAGACAATCTCTATCTTTTACTGGATAGTCTGATTTATTTATGTTTATTGTAATTGCTGATGTATTTGAATTTACTTCTGATTTCCTTTGCTCTGTCTTTCTTTCTTTCTTTCTTTCTTGGTTTTGGTTTTTTGAGACAGGGTTTCTCTGTGGCTTTGGATGCTGTCCTGGAATTAGCTCTTGTAGACCAGGCTGGTCTCAAACTCACAGAGATCCACCTGCCTCTGCCTCCCGAGTGCTGGAATTAAAGATGTGCGCCACCAATGCCCAGCTGCTCTGTCTTTCTATACTGCCATTAAAAAACTACATTTTAGTATGTGTATGTTTGTGTGTGTGAGCACATGTGTATGTGTACATGTGTGTATGTGTGTGTACATGCTATAGCACATGTGTGTATAGGGCAGAGGACAATTTACAGGAGTTGGTTCTTTTCTACCATCTGAGTCCTAGGGATTGAACTCAGGTTGTCAGGCTTGGTGGCAAGCTCTTTTCGTCCATAAGCCATCTTGCCAGCCTTCGATACTTCCTGTAAAGCCCTTTCCATTTGCATTTGCATTGATGCCATTTTTGTTTTCTAATTTTCATTTTCTTCCTTGGGTCAGAATCTCACGGGCATTCATTTCTCCTGATGAGCTGTAAGATTTCAGCTGGAGCTTTTGTGTGGCCTGAACTGATGCGTCTCTGTTCTCCTTGTAGAGAATATCAGTATTCTTCCCTTACCTGCTGCGTTTGTCCAGGGCTCTGACTTTACCTGTCTGTTGCCCACTTCTGAAGCCTCCATTCCTGAAACCCTCCTGAGTTTTATTCTCTCCGTATCTCAACAGATGTCTTTTGGATTTCCTTTGGTGTATCTGTCCCTGGCAGAAGCCTCTTCTCTATGCTTAAGGAAGTGGGAGCTTCTGGGAGCACAGTCCATGTTCTGGTGGCTGTGTGAAGGTGTGAGTGTAAGGATTTCACTAGACCCAAGATAAATGATAAATGGGTGTTTATTGGGGAACATTTACATAGATAATAATAAAGAATCACAGGAGCGCTTCTCTGCCCTTCCAATTGGATCCGCTGACCCAAGAGAAAGACACTCCAGAGAAGCCACGCCTTACACTTCCCCCTTTCCGCTTCTGCCCACCTGAAGTCACGCCCAAAGGGGTGTGGCCACCGTTACAGGTTCACAGGCAAGATGTCACTACAGCTGAGCATCACTCTAGAAGTTCTGCCTGCTCCTCTGGCTCCTGTTGCTGCCAGCTCTGTCTGTATCCCCTGGGCAGTGTGCCTGCTTGATGACTTGGAGCATCCTTCTTTCCAGAGTTCTTAACTCTGTGTACTTACTCTCTACC